TATATTCCAAATCTAAAAACAAAAAGAACAGAAATGGAATTGGAATTGGAATTGCAACGAGAAATTATTTTTCACTTGCTTTGGTTTAACTTCTGGGCAGCCAAATGCGGCGAAGATCCCAAGGGGAATTTTTTTTCACACATAAAAAATTCCTAATTTTTGTAATGCTTTTAATTCTCTGAGCTGTCAGAGAGAAGATACCAATTTTGTTATCTGCGTAAAATTCCCTCTCTCTTGCTTTCTAGGACAGGTAAAATTAAATATTGCAAAACAATGACATTTATAAATATATACTTTTTTAAGTTCAACCACCTGACCGTCTGAGTATAACTTCTAAGTTAGACCTCTCGACTTTTTAATTTATGACATGTCTTAATCAATCGAGGTTCGAGTTGTGTAATTATAAATAATTGTTTTGTATAAATATGTAGTCAATAACTGATTAAAAGTATAGGTGTTTTTGGAAAAGATTATATATTTTGTGGTTTTAGAAGAAGAGATTTAAATATAATTGGGTTTTTAAGTGATGCATTAAAAATCAATTTAGAGTGATTTTAAGCTTTTTTAAATAAAATTTTTAATTTGTTGGATCAATGGGAAGGGAAGTGATTTTGACAATAGCAAATGTGATTTTAGTCATGCCAAAATAAGAAGCTTAAGAGGGTTATATTTTATAATATGGTTTTTACATTAAAAATACATATCGATTGCTATTATTTAAGATATTAATTTTGAAAAAAAAAACTATTCTTATATTATTGTAACTATTTTGAAAAAGTAATAAGAAGTTTAAGAGGGTTATATTTTATATTGATCTACTTGAAAAAAAAATATATATATAGTAAATCTTGGAACTTTTAATCTTGTGTTAAGTAGATTCATGATCTCTTAAACATTTTTTTAAAAAGTTTTGAGATGTCTAATGGGTCCTAAACCGAGCATTTTTTAAAATCTAGGAATGTATTAAAAGCTTCAACGATTGTGTTTCAACAACGATGGTTGCGACGGATTGTTTTTCGTTGTTAATGATCTTCAATGATGTTTTTTGTCATCACTGAAATCTCGATTTCTTTAGTATAGATACAAAATTGAAAATTTGTTAACTGACTAGACACTTTTTTAAATTCAAAAACTTAATTATTAAATACAATTATGGAAGTTTAGGATGTAATTTTTGAATACGTCTAATTTTAATTAGTTTTAGGAAAAAAAACATATATATCAGCAAATATATTTTTTAAAAAATATAACTTAATGGATTGGAATTCCCTTTTGGTTGGCTTAGCTCCTCGCATGGTTGGGATTGCGGTGAAAATATTCGCATGGCTTTTGGAAATGAGGATTTTAGGGAACATGCTCTTGTACGTTCTCAAGGCCAACAATCTCATCTTCAAGGTACGTTTTCTCCTCTCTCTCCCTCATTAATTCTATCAACCACTTAATTACGCATAAATTCGTGAAATGTTGATGAAAATATTGATTTTAGTACTATTCCGTGAAATGTCGATGAAAATATTGATTTTAGTACTTATCCAACTGTAACTAAAGTGGTTAGATCTAAAACCATGCGAAGAAATATACCTTTAATCCCTGTGAAAATTTAATAGGTAATGTATAATTTATTCAAAATGAAGATATATTTTGTTATCTTGTTTAAAAGAAAATCATATTTACCTCCTCTTCACCGGTCAATAAGAAAGAAAAGGTATCATTTTAACCAAATTTAACTAGCTTTTATTCTTATTCTAAAACGAAAGTTTTATACTTACCTCCTACCTAGTGAGTAAGTCAAGAAAGAATATTATTTTAACCAAAATTGACAGGTTTTTATAAAAAAAAAAAAAAGAAGAAGAAAAACTATCTCCTCTCCTTTTCTATGTTCTTCTCCTACTTGTCAAAAAGCACAATGGTGATCTAGAGATTCAAAATTTTCTTCAAAAATTTTATTTAACCGTTGCATCGAAAGTAACCTAACAAATTTACTATTTCACATCGACTTGAAAAACAATTTAAATAAACATTTTGTATGCTTTATGTTAGTTACGTTAACAAAAATATGACAAGAGGGACAAAAAAACATAAGTTTCTAAAAAATGTTGTATTTGAAAATTCAGAATCAAATTGAAATCTAATTCAAATAACTCAATAAATATAAATTTTAAAACGAAGCATGATTAAATAAATTATTGTACTAAAAAAACTAAATAAATTATGAATTATATATATATATATATATATGTGAATAAAATTATGAATAATTTGGTGAAACTTTTGGTGATTGATTGGTGGTGTGGGTACAGAAAATGACAGCTCTTTAACCTTTGGAAGTTTGGTCGCGTCCATTAAAACATCTCCCACTAACCCACTCCTTCTTTATTACAATTTCATTTCCATTTTTCTTTTCCAAACAAATATTTATTATTCAACTCGACATTTTAAATATCTCAATATTATGAATATGACAATAGAAGCATCTATATAAAATATCACTGTGGGTGAATATTTCTGAAATATTTATAAAAACTAAAAATTTGTGAAAAAATATTTAGATTAAATAAGCATTTTATCATTTTTAAATAAGTTAAAAATTATTAATATTAATATTATGTCTATGTTAGTCATATTTTGTTAATATTTTTCATATTTTGTTGATTTTTTTATAATGCTATAGAAAGTTAATTTATTTCTCATGATGTCGAACCTAAGGACATGGAAATGTCGATATGTTGACGGATATTTATATTCATTAAACAAGAAAAAGAAAAAAAACACAAATATTTATTACTGTTTCTATTCGCTGTCCAATTTCGATTGGAAGGAATTACAAAAGTGGCAAAATAATAATGTGATATTTTGTATATATATATATTTTTAATTTAAAAAACAATAAGATATTGGTTAAATTATACAAAATATCCACTTAGGTTTTAATTTTACCCTTTAACATTTTCAAAATTTCAATTCTACCTTTAGTTTTCTTATTTGTTTTTACTTTTCAAAAAATCTTCACTTAGCAATTTCTTTTGGGATAACCATCACATGCTGTGTTTCAAAAAAAAAAAAAAACCTAATGCTAAAAAATTGAGGATAATTTTTAGAATCTTAAAATGTTAGGGGAAAATTGAAGTCAATTATCAAAGTTGGGGACATTTTTTTTTTATAATTTAGTTGGTTTTAATTATGCCTCTACCTTGGAGCTACAAATTTAAGGGAAAAAATTGACTTTAACTCTAAAAACAACTGTCTTATAACATAATTACATAAGATGACAGCTACGAGTACAACACGCAGAAGTAAAGATTTGAACTTACGATCTCGAAGACTACAAACTGTCATTATTCGTTTTGATGACTATAAACTGTCACTTTTTAAATAATTTTTGAAAATTTCCGTCTGAGGCTGTTTTTTTTTATAAAACTGTTCATCTTCTTGATACGATAAAAATTAAGGAAAACTAAAATGAGTGGCTAGAGGGGAGAGAAAATGAGTCCACTTGACATCCATGCAATAAATGGACAATTAATTAGCATTAATAAATTGTATTAATGACACATAATTTATATCCCCTTCAAACTTTTCCAGAATCAGCAACTTCAATTAACTTCTCCTTTTTCCTATTACTCTTAAATGGGGATACTTTCACGCAATTTAAAGAAATCGTGTTGATAATATACGATTTATGTACTCTACTCTTACAATTAGTTCTAAAACTACCTTATAAAGTGTATGACTATGTTAAAACAATACTTCTCAACCTTATACTTTTCTTCCTATTTCTAGAGATGATTTGACATCCAAATTATTATTATTATTATTTTTCTGAAAAAGCATATATAAAAAACAAATTTATCTTTCAAAGTAAATAATTTATTTCAATTTAAACTTAAAATTTACTCCATACTCGTACATATGTAACAAGTCATTGCTTGCTGTCCCAAACCACCCAAGCTATCCTTTAGGTGAAAAAAAAAGTCTGATGTTGTATTAAAAAAAAACTTGTAAAGTATTTAATAAAGGTGTTAAACAGTATAATTTATTTCAACATAATTCTCCTTCAAACTTGTACGTTGAGTTTAAATAAATTGAAATTTTATGGGTTGAGTCGTCCTAAAAATTTCATAGTTGGATTGAGCGTAACTAATTATTTAAGAAGGTTGTTTGAGTCGAAATATAATTTAAAAGGTGTCTCAACTCAATCCAATCCCACATTAATAATAAATATATATTATTTAATATTTAGTTTAAAGATAATATTTCTTTTATGTATATAATTTTGTTTTAGTTCCTTCATTAATTTATCTATTAATTTATTTAATTTTTGTTTTCTTTGAAGATAAAATATATATTAATATTTAATTAAGTAAAATATTTTCTTGAAATCTAGTATTTGATTTATTATTATTTTTTTTCTTAACATGAAAATTGATACAACTATTTTAATTTTTTAGAAAACTATTAAATTTTTTTAATAGTAGATAGATTAGAAAACTATAATTTTAATAGAGAGAAAAATTTTCAAGATTATATTATGGGCTTAGAAGTAGTTGATTAGAAGTAGTTGATCAGTTCAAATCTACTTTCTAATCCACTGTTCATATTTTAGGCACTTCGTAATTTTGAATGAAGATTTCAAACCCTATTCTTAGGTAAAATTTTTTTGAAACAAAATGGTTGGATCTTATGGCATTTCATAAAATTTTAAAGAAAATCTTCTCTTTTAATTTATAATTTATAATTTAAATTAAAAATTTAAAACTAAATTAAATTACAAATCTAAATAATTTTTTTATTTTCGTTTTCTTTTCTAATTAATAAATTTAAACTAAAAGGCTAAATCAATAAAATTTTTATTTTATTTGTCTTTTAAAAAAATATAAAAAAATTTAATTTAATTCATTTCTGTTTAAAATAAGATAAAAAATTGTTTTAAAAAAGAGATTAAAAAAAATTAAAACAATTTCTCAGATTTCGAATCACGAAATTTAAATTAACTTTTGTTAACGCGAAACAGAAGTAATCTGTTTTTGGCCAAATTTGTTATGTGAAATGAAATGCATAGCAGAAGTTAACGAAAATTCTAACGATCGATATGAATCATATTGCTCTCGAATCTGATGTTTCTGAGAGATGAGAGGCGAAATTATGAGCAAAGCTTCGACAAACAAGATGAGAAAACGGAGAGAATTTTGTTCGCTGTTGAAGCATTTTTGGGGTGGAATGGAAATGGGTGTAATTTTGCTCGAATTTTTACTCCCATTTGCAATGTTCTTGTTATTCGATAAGTTTACACAAGGAAACGACTATGGGATATTTTCCATTTTCGGATTGCCAATTTTGTCGAGGGATTTTTTACATTATTCTGCAGAAGGCTGGGTTGTACATAAGTTTGCTCTTTAAACCCTATATTGGATCAAGGTATAAGCTCTCTGTGGTGACGAACATAACTTCAACCTAATTGCCTCACTCCTTTTGAAATTTTTATAAGAATCTATGAAATTGTTGTTCTTGACATGTGTATTGATGAATGGAGTGGTAGAGTTGGCAGACTCTGACATGTTCTGTATTTTCAAGCTCTAGGCTATCTTATTGAGTTATGGAATTAGTGATTAGTAATGTTTTTGTTAGTTCAAATATGAAGGAGAAAAAGTTGTTACTATTTCATCTTGAGCATGATGAAACCCAAGCACGTGTTATCTATATGGGTTAAGTTTAGTTTGTAGGTTGCTTTCAGCTGTGAATTGTTTTAGAAACTAAAATAACTTTTATATGTTTGATGCTATTTTCTATTGCTTACTAGCGTCAAAGTTATGCAGCTCATTGCAAATGCGGAGATAGAAGAGTCACCGGCTTTTATTCCTTTGCATCCCGTTGAAGGTATGTTATCTTTCTAATTTTTCAGGTTTCATAACTTCACAGAACATTGTGCAATGTCGCTCATTTTGTAATATATAAAAAATGAACTCTTAAAGCCATTGCCTGTTCCGTCTGATAGAACTCAAACAAATTCTCAGGAATTCTAGAAAACACGAACTCCAAGCTTACCAGAACGCCTATTGGTAGAAAATAATGGCAAATTTAGAATCTTAATACTACTAGATTATTAGAAGCTTATAGCGAGTTTAGCTAGACTATATTAAGTCAACAATAATATAACACAATTAATAAGCCGATGTAACTAACTGGAATAGTTTGAAAGCTTACCTTCTCCCAAAACAAGATTCAACTCAACTAGTGAAATACTAACCTGAATAATTTCTCATATCAGATGACCTTGCATTTCCCGTCTTACCTTTATTATTGATTTTATTAAGTAAAGTATATCTTAATATCTAAGAGGGACCTGTCAATACCTTGCCTTAAAAGGAGCTACCTTGTACACATGGTGAAAATGAAGGAACTGTTCAGTTATGCGATCAACTAGTTCCCAGGTGTTATCTTTAGAAGACATGTCTTCCCATAAGATTACAACCTGTACTGATCTTTCTCCACTTTCCATATTCGGAACCCCTAACGCAGCATCAGCCTCAAATTTCACTCAGAAGCCAGTAATAATAGTAGAAGGTTTACATTGGTTGGACCATGTTCTTGCTACCTATATAGTTGAGAAACATGAAAAATGACGTGTACGTTTCCTCCTTGGGGCAAATTGAGCTCATAGTCAACAACACCCACCATTTTCAAAATATGGAAAAAGGCCGTACAACCAAGGGGCCAACATGTAAGAGGGCCGGGTGGCTACAACTTCTTGATGGTTGGGCTGTAATTTGAGGTACACCAGCTCTCCCGAATCAAATTGCATGCCTTCACTTCCTGAGGTGGAATTGACATGTCGTTACAAAGCTTTTGTTAATTGGGACTTGACTTTAACTAGCATAGCATCCCTATCCATTAAAATATGGCCAACAAATAAGACCGACAAAGAGTTAGAATGATAGGATATAAGTGGGAAAGGATAGCAACCATGCAGAATTTTGAAAGAGGTTTCCTTAGTAATAGTATGAAAATGAGGTATTATAGTTGTACTCAGGCCCATGTTAGCCATTTCTCTCACTGAGCTAGCCTTTGGTATGAATAACATCGAAGACATGCTTCCAAATGTCAATTTAGCAACCACTTTGAGAATGGTAAACAGTACGCCATGAAGCTGAGTGCCTTATAGCTCAGACCGTTTTGTCTAGACAAGACGTGAGAGTTTGGCTGCTGTCAGAAACCAGACTTCTAGAAATTTCATACAACCTCACAACCCACCTTAAAAAAAATACATTAGCCACTTCAAGGGCTGTAGTAAGTTATAGGACGTTACTCTTGCAAAAGCACTGCCCCCAATCCATTACTTGAGGCATTTTTTTCCAAAATTAAAGGTAAATTAAACCTGCGAAGCTCTTTTAGGTTGGTTGGGACTCACCACCCTAGTATCACCTCAATCTTGAAGTCATCCACAACTGCCCCACAGTGTGACCCTAATACTCAATCTCTGATAATGCAAACTTAAACCTTTTGTTTATTATTATTTTCCAATTACTCACAAGTTGATTATTTGGTTAATATTGTGAACAGTGAACACTTGGTAAGATGTTGGACACGGTCACAGTTTTTAGTTTTGCTCAGTCAATCTTGGAATCATCCACCACTCTACAGTCTTGCACATTTCAGTCCTGCTCAGTTTCTTGGTTAGATAGCTCACATATTTTACATCGAGAAACTCATATTTTTCCTTCATGAAAATTTACATTGGTTTGCAGAAAAAGAAAGTGAAGAGGTCAAGTACATAGGCTTAGATCTATCTGAAATGGAACAAGTTCAAGAGGCAGTTAGTTGTCTGCCTACATGGTCACAGAGAGAAGTAAATTCTTTGAACCCCTCATTTCACCGCTGGACAATAATGGACTATTCAAGGGCATATCATTCAAAAACAATAACTCCTCTAACTGTAAGCCAACTTTTTGCTTTTCATATTTTTGAGAATATCGTGTTCATAGTGCTCTTTTTCTGTGAAGAAAAACTAACTGTTCTGAGTTCTGAGACCTTATTTAAATGAATTTCAAATTTGTCTTCTCACACATCAGTGCCTGTTTAGTTATCAGTCTGTGATATGCTTCATATGAGCTTCGAATTATCTTTTATTTTATAGGTTGCAGAGAGATTCATCGCAGCTGTGAGCGAATCATCCAAACCTCCATTGAACATGTCGTTCTTCATTAATTATAATGTTGAAGATATTCTAAAGCAAGCAGCCGAATCAACTTATCGTTATGAAAACGGTACCTATTAGCATTGGGAAGAAAAGTTCATCTTTTCTACTGCACACATGAAATAATTTCCAGCAATTGAGTCAGATCTGTATCAGTAAACTATTATCTTGTCATTCTTTTCCTTGCCTTCAGTTTCTTTCATCTCCGTTGGTCAACTTTGGTCATTCAAGATTTACATTTCCCTTTATGATGTTAGTATGTTGCTCTTGTGAGAAACTATTCTAGTTTTTCCTCTCAGTTTTATTCCTTTTCATTTTGATTCATCCCAGGAGAACCCCTTTCAGTTCTAGATGGAGTTCCAATTGCTATCAAGGATGAAATAGATTGTTTACCATATCCTACTACAGGTAATTTGGTGTTTTTCGTTTTCCCACTCGCAGTGATAAAGTCAAAAACGTTCTCATGCATGCAAGATTATTTTATTTTAGTGCTTGGTGGCATCTTGTTCTTGTAGGAGGGACAAGTTGGCTGCACAAACTAAGGTCCTGTACAGGTGATGCAAGCTGTGTAAAATGTCTCCGGTTATGTGGTGCCCTAATTGTAGGGAAAACCAATATGCATGAACTTGGTATTGGAACAAGTGGAATAAACCCTCATCACGGGTGAGAAGATCTGATCTGTTTCTTGCTTTGTAACTAAGAATACCATAATCTTCATGTTGATGTTTAATAACTTTACCACTTTGCATTTTATAAAGGCTAAATTATAAACTTTTTTTTTTCCCTTTCTTTTTCCTGAACAAGAAACAAACTTTTCATTGATAGATGAATTGGAAGAAAAATGTTCAACGATACAAACTCTGAAAGGGAGTGAAAAAAAGACAAAATGGCCAAATAAAAAATAAATCTCCAAAAATTACAAGAGAATAAAACATTAAAGAACAAATGCCTAATATCATAACAAAACGACGAGCCGAAACAACTAAAATCACTTCCTTCAATTTGCAAAAGCTACACCAATATATTGAATATGAGAAAAGCACATCTAGAAGCCTTTGATGAGAGCACCAATGGAAGGATGTCCTATAGTTAGTTTTAATTTTATCCTCAACATTTAAAAAATTTCAATGTAACCTCCAATTTTGTAAGTAGTTGTTGTCGTTATTTTTGTTTAACCCTTCCTTGGCAATTCCTGTCGAAGTGACAAACGAAAATTAAAAAATTAGGGTAAAATTGTTTAAAATGTTAGGAGCAAAATTGGTAGATAATTTATTTGGTTTTAATTTCACTTCTAATCAATCTATTTGGTTTCAATTTTGCCCTTAATGTTTTAAATTTTTTTTTAGAATATTACATTGCAAATACGAGTTAGGGTTTGAATTCATGATCTCTTAGAGGAAATAGAGACTTGACAACATTTTAAAAGTTTTAATTATAAGGAAAATCACTAGCTGAGAGGTCTTTCTTTGCAACAAATCAAAGATTGTGTTATGATCGAATAAATTAACACAAACTAGATATTAGAGCATTTTGTATAATTTAGCCTTATGAATTAAACGTGTGCTAAAGTTTTGCTGTAGTATTATGGATTCATGATATATAAGGAGCATGAACATTGATATAAATATGAATACAATCAGATTGGGCATATCAACGTTATGTTTTGAAATTAAAAAAAAAAATATAGAAGTGTTAAATAATAAAATACAATGTATATTTGTAGTATATGGACTGTGTCATAGACCTTAGTACCATGCCTTGCACCAAAAATATAGTATACATTACAGCATGACGTGGCTTTCTTTACATATTTCCTCACTGAACTCCAGTTTGTCTATTAGAGGGCTAAATATTTTTTAAACTGGTCATGTAGATCAACAAGAAATCCATATAATACAAACAGGATATGTGGAGGTTCTTCTAGTGGATCTGCTGCAGTCGTTGCTGCAGGATTATGTCCGGCTGCTCTAGGTGTTGATGGAGGAGGTAATTTTATTTATGAATAAGGCAGTGCTAAAGGTCATAGTCATGACTGTTAAAGTCCATTCAGTTAAAATAAAATTTGGGAATGAAATTGATACTTTCAACAAACATGAGAGTACTGAGACAAAAGGTATAATTTAACCTAATGATAACATTATCTTTGAAAGACTAGCTTTTCTCCTCCCACTCTCTAATCTCTGGTTTTTCCCTATATTTCCATTTTTATCCTACCGCTGTCCTCTCTTATCATCTTTCTATTAAAAATTCATAATTCCATCCTGCAACATTTTCCTACTCCTGTTTTATTTAGAAAGATTATACAACATACACAAAGAAACTTTCTTACCTACCATGTATTTTCTAAAGAGAAATTTTCTTTTTAAAACAAAAAGTATAATTGTGGCCAAATAGTCTCATTAATATTGTTTCCATATTCTGCAATAAAAAAGGATGTGGAAGTTATCAATTTTTCGTCTTTTTAATGGCGGAACTTTTAAGCATTTGATAGTTTACATATTTCACATAAAATCTGAAACCTAGTCAAATTAATCTTATTCCATTGAAGACGACATCATCAACACAAATTAACTAGCTCTTAGAGATCTATGTATATTAAGATATTCAATAAAGTTGGCTTCTTCTTATAAATTGTGTGATAATTTATATATTTTGCAACTAAATTCTCTTCATTGGTAATTTTATGAAGGATCTGTGAGAATCCCTGCATCACTTTGTGGAGTTGTTGGTTTTAAGCCAACATTTGGCCGTGTTCCTCATTCTGGGTGACAACTTATGTCTACTGAAAAATAACATCTCTACATTTATACCTTTGACAATTCAATATAATTTGGTTAGTACATTCTGTATTTAACAGTGTTCTTCCTCTGAATTGGACTGTTGGGATGGTAGGGATAATAGCAGGCACAATTGAGGATGCATTTATTGTGTTAGTGTTCCTTCTTTTCTCCATTATCTTGATGCAACTTGAGAGAGTTTTGATGGAAAATTTTTTGACCTTGATATGCTATTCAGTTATGCAGCTATAGGCAGCAAACTTCCTTCGCATCAGAATACTATACTGGCAAGTGCTTGTTTGAAATCATTATAGTACCATAGTACGTTAAAGACAAAGTTTAACAAGTTCTGTTATGAAATTTATGTCAAAATATTAGTTTCAGGAGCTCGTCTCAGTGCATATTTCCCTCTTTTTTAACTTTAAGTTGATTGATGATAATGTTAACACGAAGACTAAGTTAATGTATATGCATGATTGAGGGCATGTCATGCTTATTTTCAGTATATGTTAATGGATGTGTGCATACATGCCAACTTGAGTCACGGTATGTTCTTTTTATAAATCTTCAATATATATCCTGAACCTTTGTTTGTCTTTCGATTCACCTTATGTGCGTCCAGCCACCAAAACTTTGTTTTCCTTTGCTGAACTCATCAAGCCCAATATCGTCGATCACATTGGCAAAGTATGGCGAGGTTAGTAATTTAACATTAACTTATTTGATGTTCCCGATAAGTACCGTAGTATTTTGAAATTATCTCATTCATTTTTACACCACTAATTGAAATAATTAGTGGTTTAACGACTGTAGTGATGATATCAAAGTTTGCTGTTCCATTGCCTTGGACAAACTTCAAAAACATCATGGTTGGAAGGTACTGCATTAACGTTCTTAAAAACTGACATACTGCTTAATTCGTTCCTTTGCTGTCTCTTACCTATCCTCTAGCTTAAAATAAACAACAAAATGAATAATTAACATAAAATATGCATGTAGAGGTGACTGAAATAGCAATTGGCATAACATCAGAAATTTGCCTGCTAATCTTGTTGTTTACTTCAAAGACTGTAGAGGTGACTATCCCAGAGATAGAAGTCATGCGGTTAGCACACTATTCAACAATTGCATCCGAGTGCAGCACTTCGTTGAGTTCTTACCTTGAGAAGTTGTATGTTGACTCCACAATATTTACCAATTGATTTATGTTGGATATACCCTGAGACTATTCAATCCATTGAATCAGGGATTCCGCACAACTAGGATGGGATGCAAGAGTAGCACTTGCAGTTTACGGTTCTTTCACTAGCAAGGAGTACATAAAAGCCCAGAAGATCAGGTAAGATTGTGGCTTAGGAAATTGTCATAAAGTCCCAACGGTTTGAAATCAAGACTGTCGAAAATATATACAAGTTACATCAGTTTAGTAAAAGATTCTTGCATGAGTAAATTGAGGTTGTAGTAATGCTGCTTTTCACATGTTTAATGGATTGTATTTTCATACTTTCCATTAATTGATAATCATAAGGTGGAACGGGTAAGGAGAAACTACTTGAAATCCTATATATCTTGCTGGATGTTTCTCAGCTTTCTGTCTCTTTAATAATTTCTGGAGAAATCAGGATGTATTTCTATATTTCTTGAGTATAACCACATATATACATGATATTTACATCATTACAGATGGGAAAAAATATATTATATAAATGAAAGACTCTAAAGAAAAGAAGGAAAATTTTCAATATGAAGTTTAAAATTATATTAGGATATTACATTATTCGTCATCATTGCACATCATGTGGTCAGAGGCACCTCAGTCTACTATCCAAGATTCTAGGCATTCTTTTGAACCTCTATGGATTATAGCGTTTGTTTTAATACGGATGTTTTTTTAGAATAACCATAAGTTATTTCTTAGTTCCAAAAACATCTACTTCTTATGTATATGGTAAAAAATATTCAAGCAATTATGTGTAGAGAGAAAGTGTGTGTAAAGAGAAATTTTTAGCTTAGTTGTGAGAGAACATTTGGGTAGGGAGAAATTGACTGTAAAGGGAAATTTGTAGAAGAAACTGAGTGCGTATATCGGAAGAGAGATTACTTATAACAAAAAGTTGGTTCGGTATAACATATGCAAAGGGATATTAGTGAGATAGTGTGGGTAAAGATAAAAGAGACATCTGTGAGAGAGTTTGTAAGTTTGTCTGTCGAGAGAGATTAATTAGTTAGAAGTTGTTATTTAACTCCCTTCTGTTAACGGGAGACGACAGTTCATATTAACTGCGCTTGTTTGTTTCAACTTGTTATCCTTCATCCTTGTAAAGGTTCCTTTATTGCTGGCACAACTTAGTCAAAATTTCTTTCTTCTTGAAAAAACTGATCATTTATCTCACTTGGAGCTGCGCAAATGCTAGAATTTCCTCTTGTGTGGTATTAAATAACTATAAATATTCACAGGAATCGTCAGATGTACTTTCATCAGAAAATATTTATGCATGCTGATGTCATCGTTTCACCGACAACAGGGTACTTTCATTATCTCGTTTCAAAACTTTAACTGGATTTATATTTTATAGTCATTATTGGCTTGAAGTGGCAAATGTATTTCGTGTTTTATTTGTGACTCCTCAACTTAACTATCAGTGTTAGACTTGAGTTTTTCTTTTACATATAGATGAATCAGAAAACAAAATGTGTAGGACTTGCTTGGAAACTGTCTTTAAAATGGTTTTTCTGTTTTTGTTTTTAAAACTGTGATCAAGTGAAGTTAAGCTTATTGTCATTTGAAAATTGAAATCAATGTCCTCAAACGAGAACAATTTTAGTTGTTTTCAAAATTAGATCAACCATTAGAAAGAAAAATTGGAAAAAAAAAACAAATGTAAGAAGTGCTCACCAAATATAGTTTTAATTAACTTTTGTTCTAAATAATAGAAAATTCAAAATTTGAAGGCTTAGTTTTTGAAAGCCCGAGGCCTGATATTTTCGTGAAATTTGATAGAGAGAAAAATAGCTCGACTGTAGGGAGGTTTCAGTCTATATGCACATATGGTTTTAAGGGAAAAGCAAAGGTGGGCCCAGATTGGCCATTTGAAAATGCTTTTTTGGAAATGAACATTTGTGAGCATAAGAAATTCTTATGGTAAGACAAAATGGAACATTATTTCGACTCACTCAACAAATGTGCGAATCACTCAGCAACATATTTAGGATTCTTTAGGGGGGGACTGGTGGATTATTAAAAATAATCAGGTTTATATCTCACCTGATTCCTACCGATAGAGGGAAAAAGAAGCCATATGGCAAATAGAGAGCAGAAATTTTGATTTCAACACTAAATCGGACAAAGGAATGTCCTTCCTCTTAGTCTTCGATTAGGGTCCTTCTGTCTTTACGAGGATTATAAGCTGGAATGCGATCGGTTTGTAGGCTTATGGAAACAGAGCTATTATCAAGAATGTTACTGGAATTGATTAATTCAGATTTGGTTCTTTTACAAGGGATACTCTCTCCCTTTCAACTTCTCCTCTCCCTAAACAATTGCATCATCTAGTTACAAATGGGCCCCCTAGGTAACTAATAAACCTTAGCTTCTCTGTCCGTACCTCTTTCTTTCATGTGCATGAAGAATTGGTGGTCTATCACTACCTTGCCTCAAATAGGCACCTTATTTTAAAGATAAAAATAAAGAAACTTGGTATTTATAGAAAGAACTGGTGTAGCCAAATCTGGCTGAAGACAACCAGTTTGCTCAACTTTATTATGGGCTTGTCATTGCATCATGATGAAGATGAGTTTATAGACCTTTATTAACAACCTCCATGTGAAGCCTGAGCAGGGGAGTACGTGAATGAACCTGTGCCACGTTCAAATGAGAGGGATCTTGAGATCATGTAAGCAGGATTAGAAGAGGCTTAAAAGAATTGATAGTTAATATTTATGCCAACAAGGTGCACCTTTCTTTTCAGTATCCAATCACAAGACCTCCAGAGTTCAGCGTGCTCAAATTGAAGCAATTCTATGTTAGGTAACCTCCTAAGAAATTTTTTAGGAAGTATGTGAGTAGGGACATCCTTACATTCCATTTAGGTTTAGGAATAGGCGTAATAGGACCTGTTTTTTACATACCTCTCGTTATTTGGGACAAAGCATGTTGAAAGGACCTATATTGGTCCGAGACAGTTTTCACCCTCACAAGCTACTCAAGTCAAGCATGTCGTGCATCGAGGTCATAGGAGAATGCTAGGTCGTCATCTAAATTCCAAATCTTAAACTTGAATCCTAGGCCTGGGGTGTTACACTCCATCTATCCATCAACCTTAGGTGATACCACATATTGCACTTAAATTGTGTACCCTTGCATTTGATAACGCTTCCGTATTCCAAGCTTGTGAAAATATGATCTCTATTTGACACAAGTTGAAGTCTATACTAATGTAGATTGGGTAGGACGTACCACATGTAGAAAATTTGCCTCTGGTTACTGTTCTTTAGTTGGAGGGAATTAGCTACATGTCAAAGTAAAAAACAAATTATAGTAGCTAAGAGTAGTGCTGAAGTGGAATGTACAGCGAAGTTATATGTATTAAAAGGATACTAGAAGAATTTACGTACTCTCATAAGAGACACCTATAAGAGTTTTTTTTTTTTTTTCTTTTTTTTTTACAATAAGGCTCCCATTGCTATAACTCATATTGCAATTTTGCATGATAGAACAAAACATATCGAAGTTGACAAACATTTTATAAAGGAGAAGATTGATTCTGGCATAGTATGTATCTCTTATCTTCCAACAATATAACAAATAGTTTTATACTAACTAAAGTTCTTTCAAAAACAGTAACCAGAGGCAAATTTTCTACATGTGGAATGTACAGCGAAGTTATACGTATTAAAAGGATACTAGAAGAATTTACTTACTCTCATAAGAGACACCTATAAGAGTTTCTTTTTTTACAATAAGGCTCCCATTGCTATAACTCATATTGCAATTTTGCATGATAGAACAAAACATATCGAAGTTGACAAACATTTTATAAAGGAGAAGATTGATGCTGGCATAGTATGTATCTCTTATCTTCCAACAATATAACAAATAGTTTATATACTAACTAAAGTTCTTTCAAAAGGACAATTAGACAAGCTGGTTATATGAAAGACATCTTTAAACCAACTTGAGAGGAGTGTTGGATTTATTTTATATTTATTGTTGTAAAAATTAGTGGTTCATATTTATGTTAATATTTGGGTTAGTTTTTTCCAAATTGGTATGTGTCATTTTCCTATATAAGAAGAACTTGTATTTGTATTAGAATAAATATAACATTTTTATTTCTTCCCGAAATTAGATTAAACTAGTTGATGGAAATAGTTAAATTTTAGGAGGGTGTTTGGGTGGATTCTCAACTCATTGAAATTTCAAAATCTTTATGTGATGGTGGAACCTAAGTTGAAATCTGCCTTGTAAATCTGGGATGAACATTCAAAGAATCGGCATATTGTGACTAGAAGAAACTTGTCTGGGATATGAATGAGTGAGTTCAATGATCTCTTATTGTTGTTGGAAAATAAAAATAGTGGGGAAGGAAAGGATGAAAGAGAATTTGGAAGATACACACATTAGGCATCTTCTCGGTTCAATCATTATTTCATAATCAAACATTAGTTGGAAAAAACTTGGAAAAAGAATTCTCCAAGTAAATTTTGATAGGAAAGTGCCCCAAAAAAGTTTAGGGTCTTCTTTGGAGTCCCTCTAGTATACCTTTGTTTAAAAGCTTGTGTAGGCATGGATCATCTCGTCCTTCATTGTTTTTTTAGCTTGATGCTTTGGCATTCTCTACTACAACTTCAGGACTTTCATGGATCTTTCACAATTTTTGGAACATAATTTGCATCACTGGGTATTTATAGATAATGAGTTTAAGATTAAACTCCCTTCGTAATTAATTTAAGTTGGGTTCTTATAAAAGCTTCATTGTGGAGTTGGTCCTAAGAAATACTTTATTTTGACATTACTTTTTACTTTTTTCAATGATCATGAAAAGTTTGTATTCTGTTTCAAAAGAGACAAAAAACTATTTAAAGAAGTCTCCCAAGCAAGCTCCTATATTCTTATATGTTCACAAATTCCTCCAATGTAGTCATCAAAATAGTTACCTTTCAAATTTTATTCGACAGTGTAACTGCTTACCCTATCTTGAATGATGCTCTCAAGACCGGAGAACTTGACTACATTAACGGAGGTACAGAACAACACATAGACATGCTTGCTCTGATTTTGAATGTTTTTTTTTTTGCAATTAAGCTGAATAATACAGTTTAGTATCTAGTGTTTGTTCCATTTTTTTTCCAATTTTGTCATTAATCTTTTAAAATTTTCAATTTCATCCTTTTATGTATGGAATTTTTTCAATCGAGTACTTGCTCTCGTTGAATATCAATAGAATAATTTAAAAAGTTTTTAAGAAGAATGATGTGTGAATTTTAAAAGTTATTTATTTCTTTATGACGTTAGTTGTTACTATAAGTATAGCAGTATTTTAATGGGTCAATTTTCTAAAACAACGAATTATCTCGAGACGAATGGTGAATTGGTGGAGTGATATGAAGGGTGTAGGTGACTTTATAGATGAGCAGGTTATATTTCCAACTTAATTAATAATTGTATTTTGTCATAGCATGATGATCATCTTCATTTTGTCAACAAATCGTAACATTTTGTGATGTTAAGGACTTGATTGAAAAAAATACATAAAAAGAATAAATTTGAAATTAAAAAAAAAAAAGATTGGGGATAAAATTATTAAATTGTTCAAACATTAGACATTGAGTTATATATTTGGCCTTTCAATTATATTGCAAACATACCATTTATTTTATTTTTCAATGAATTCTATGAAGAGATCAATTTCAAACACAAGTGGAAATGATAACTTTGTATCACTTCAGCTGCACTTGTTAGGTATTCAATAGCTGGGAACTTTCTAGGACTACCTGCTGTAACTGTGCCAGTAAGATCATAATGTCTTCATCCTTGAATATTTTTGTTTGGGATTTTAATATACCAATAATTTATTTGATTTGTTCTTTGGAAAACTTTCTTTTACAGGTTGGATATGATAAAACAGGTTTGCCAATAGGCCTCCAGTTCATTGGCAGGCCTTGGTCTGAAGCAACCCTCATTCATATAGCATGTGCAATGCAGGTAAAGTTGTCTTCCCTCTCCTTTTTGTTTTGCCAATTGTGCATATGTATTTTGTTTTAGTTTCTCTTTTGGGAAAAAGTTCAATTTTGCTCCTCCACTCATAGCTTAATAAGTAAATTTTAGTGTAATTTATACTTGAATAAGTGGTAAAGACCTTTTTTTCTTCTTCTTTTTTTTGTTTTGATAACGGGGAATTAGAGCTTTGTTCTCCTATACTCAGGGGCACTCATGCCTACTTCAAGACCCGAACCCGAGAGACATCAAGGATCTTTGGTATTAAGCTCACCAGAAAGTTCGAACTTGAGACCTCTAAACCAGTATGATCAAGAGACCTCAAGCCCTTGCCAACTGGGCTGCACTCTAGGGGCATAGTAGAGAACTAAATTAACAAATAATTAAAATCAAGGTATAGAAATGATCAAACTCAACCATGAAAATATCAAAACTTAACTACAAAATCAAGTAGCTATAAAAAAGGCGTGGAAATGCCGAAGTCCAACTAAAAAGTTTCTGACTTGATTAAAACAGTCAGCATCCAACCCATAAAAATGCTAATATCAAGCCACAAATCTTCGAGAAAAAAGAGAGAGTTTAACTAATTGAAGGATTAAATTGTAGAAAGAATCATGCGGGGAATTTTTTTTTACCGATATTCATGATTAGTAATTAGGAAATCCCTATCAAACAAAATAAAAGGAAATTATTTCTTCCGAAAATATTGGCAAGGGGAATAAAATGAATTTCATGCTCCTTTCTTACATTACATGTGTATATATAATTCAACTATAGCAAATATCAGCATAGAGTCTTGCATCTTTCTACATCTCTAGAGGATCCCTAGTTTTACTAAGAATCCCTGTTGTTGGATTGGATTATAACAAACTTTTTGATAATTATCACTTTGATAAGTTTAGGTTTCGACTTGATGAAGAAAGTTTAAGGTGGACACTGATTCAACCTTTTCCTTCTTTCCAAGTCTGTTTTGGTCTTTAGATCTTGGATGGATTAATATTACTAGTCTTGCTAATCTTAATTCTTCTATCACACTGCACTGCTGAGTTTTTATAATATTTGGGCATTTGGTTTCAGGCTCTCTGTATTGCTGATTACAAAAGGCCAGAAGTTTTTCATGATCTTCTCAGCCAAAAATAACTCTCTTCAGGTTCAGGAACCTCCAAAGTTTTTTATTCATGGTGTGTGTCTGCTTTAATTTTCATTGGTCATTACAGTAAATTTGTTGAATAAAGAGTTCTAAAGGAGTTGGTTTGCCATATTTTAATCCAGCCTTGTTCTGTATTTAATTGCTGAAGAGATTGGACTTCTACACTAATATCTCATCTTTGTTGTTGTTTCGTTAATTTAAATGTGTTTCATGTTTATTTCCTTTTGGTTCTTAAACTTTTAGAAATAACCTTAGGTCATTGTTCTCAACCAACCTACGTAGCTTTAATACATGCTCAGATCAATATGCTAATACATATATTTCAGGTCATGTTATCTGTCTATTTAAATAATTGATGGTCAATATCAAGATCAAAATAGTTATATTTTGAATGTTGAATAATTAAATTACTCTCTTTTCTTTGTTCTTTGTTGATGATAGTCTATTATTTTTTAAAGTCTCGTTGGACAATAAATAATATTTTGGAAAAACTATGAAGCGGCTTCTTAATATTCTTAATGTGCAGACTGTACAAAGTCATGCCAAATTTTTAGAACTGGCTTCCTATATATACACACCTGTACAACGGAAAGAAAGGCATTTCTCTATTGTTGGAAAAGATACTGTAATCAGGAAAATAATAACTAACTCCAAATTTGGTAGGGTATATCAATTTTTATTCTAAACTTTTAGTTTGAATTCCAGTGGATTGACCTAAAAATTTGAGTCCAAGTGAAATTTGACCTAATTTTTTAAAATATTTTTTTCCAACCTTTTTAGCTCTCACTCACTCTCACTCTCACTCTTGCTTGCTGGTTAGTTCGCAAAAAAAAAAAAAGGAACTTGGATAAGTATTATAATATTCACGTTAAATTTTAAAAAGTATTGCCTGTGATCATTTTTATTTGAAGTTGAGTTTCTTATGTGTCAAATGAATTATAAAACATATATAGACATTGGAGTTTTTTGTTTTTTTTTTGTTTTTGTTTTGTTTTGGTTTTTTTTTTTGCTTTATAAGTTTGATAGAGTTTATTACTTATTGATTTTGTGTACTAGTCAAACTTAATCTTATGTAAAGCTTGATTCACATTAAATTAGTAAGTCTTTATTTTTGTTTTTTAATCACTTTTTTTTTAAAATTAGTGGGTGAATTAGTATAAATTAAATAGAGGGTAAAAATTATACCGTTCGAATAAATTTGTTATTTCAACTTTTTCATCAAAGATATGTCTTAATTAGTTGATCTTTGCTTCATTTGACACCATATATCTTTTATATTTGGTCAAAATACTCAAAATTTAAAGTTTTAAGGCAAAATTTCAGGTAGCCCCCCTCTTCTTCTTCCTCCCTCCCTTTCCTCCTGTTTGCCAGAAGCACTTTGACTATAGAGATAGGAAGATATTTTTGTTAGAGAAATATGCATATAAAACTTAAGCAAACATGAAATTAAACAATCTGAACCCAACAATAGCGTTGTTTCCTTAAGACAATTTTGTTCCTTCTATGGTGCTCAAAGTTTCACAAGCAATTGTCTTCGAGGATAAGATGGATTTACCAACCTATGAATGCAACACTTCACGCACAAGACTCAACGAACCTTAGTATTTAAGTAATCATATAGAGGAAAAAGGAAGGAGAATTTGAGGGAAGATTTTTCATCTTTCAAAATTGAAAAGAAACCACATTTTGTAGACTATTTCTGGCCATTAAAATAGTCATATCTTTTCGTATAAGGTTATGTCTTTTGATAAAGGATATATCATTTCATATAAGGTTGTATCCGTTACAAAAGACACGTCCTATCACGAAAAGTTGTGTTTCTTTATTTCATCAAAAACTCCAACAATCCCCCACATGAATAAAATTTATTTTAAAGCGTGTACGATTACTCATGAAGAATAACTACGTTAGAATAAGTAGTCTAAGACTTTGAACTTTCCTTAGTAAAATTATGAAGCTTACATAGCCGATCAGTAGTTAAAGAACTTTGAATTGTCAACTTTTTAGGAGTAAATCAAATCCTCATAGAAGCGACCCCTTCACACTGAGATAGATGACTTCTTTAAAGAATATCGAGGCAATACCCACTTGTTGGGTTTGTGGATACAAACTAAATTAAAAGAAAAAAAAAAGAGGAATCATTAATGGGCCAAAAGCCCAAGAACCTATTGTTTTAGGTTTGTGCCACCACTTATGTATCTATATATTATTTTTCTTTATGGTGGGTGAGAGCAGCCGTAAGAATAAGAAAGAAAAGGGAAGTGGATTTATGCTGCAATTTTTGAGTGTTTTTGTAGCAGTTTTAGAGGTGGCGACTCGAGTGTTGGCAACACAGAAAGGGTAGATCGAGATCGATATGTTTGGGGTAATTTGTTCTTGATTATTCTGTGAGTTTTTCATTCATGTTCCTAAGTATTAATTGTGTTAAAATACTTAGAAGCTATTGGGCTTTTGTTGGGACCTCTAAGAGATATTTTTGGGAGAGTTATTATATCAAATCCTTTAACAATATTAGTGAATTACCCACATCTGAGTGGAAGACTGGATGTAACCCTTAGTGGTGAACCAGTATAATTTGATGTGTCGTTTACTTGTGCTTTACTGTTTTTCTTCTTATTTGAATATGCTTGGTTGTGTTGGATATTTTCAATGGAAGGAGAAATTATACAGGACCGTTAATTTCCCAACAAGTGGTATCAGAGTTGCAGGGTTGCAACATCATGTGAGACAAATATCACGTACACCATTACTATAAATAGGTTCTGAAGTTCACTGGAGAGAATTCCAGTTTTTGGAAGATGCAGATGAAGGATCTTCTTACATGCAAGAAGATACACAAGACTTTGGGGGAAAGACCAGCGGAGATGACTGACAAGGATTGGAATGAGATGGACGAGCAGGCCGTTGCGAACATCAGAATGTCGTTATTGATGAATGTTTGTAGTCTGGTGGCGAAAGAGACTACAGCGAAGGAATCGTTGAAGGCCTTGCAAGACAGGTATGAAAAACTTTCTGCCAATACAAAAATACTTCTACGAACGAAGTATTTTAATATCCACATGAAGGAGGGAACTTCGGTGAATTCCCAAATTGATGAGCTCACCGATATCTTGAATAAATTAGAAGAGATGAATGTCAAGATTGAGGAAGAGGTGAAGGCTATGAGGATGTTGATATCTTTGCCTGATAGTTGGGACACGATGAAGACCATGGTGTCAAATTCGCTAGGGGAAAATAGCTTAAAATTTTCAGCTATTTGTGATGCCGCCTTATCTGAGGAAACTTGGAGAAAATTAGGGAAAATGCCTGCATCTACTTCAGGGGTAGAGAACAGGGTTGAATCAACTTTGGTAGCTCAGAATAAAGGAAAGACAAAGATGAATTACAACGGGAAGCAGCAGCAGAGATATACCAGGGGTAGTTGGAGTTCCAATGGGAAAGTGGAGTGTTATTACTGCCACAAGAAGGGACACATGAAACGCTTTGTAGGAAGTTCAAAGAAGATTATGAGAAAGGGAACAATTCTACAAACGTTGTAACAGGAGATGAACGGATTGAAGAGTTTCTTGCTTGTGTTCAGAGGAATATATCTGTAGACCATTAGGTAGTGGACACTACAACATCAGCCCATGATGCTTCAGACAAACGTTGGTTCTCATCTTTTACTGCAGGTGATTATGGCCAGTAAAGATGGGGAATGAGAGTATCTCCAAAGTGAGAGGAATTGAAGATGTTTGTTTGAAGACAAGTGAAGGGGCCGAGACGTCAGGTATATTCCTAGCTTCAGATTTAATTTGTTATCCGCAGGGAAGCTAGATGACGATGGCTACAGTAGTGAGTTTGTTGGGGGCTGCTGGAAGCTCAAGAGGGAACCCAGGGTGGTGGCAACAGGCCACAAGAGATCTTTTGTTTATGTGTCTGATTTTGAGGTTGTCAGGGGACCTTAGAGACAGATGATGCACAGAGTAGCTGCAGATGGTTCAGGGCGAGACCTTAGAGAATCAGCAGCATTGACAACCAGAACAGATCAGAAGAATCTGCCATTAGTTCAAGTACAATAGTTGGGAAGTAGAGGAAAGGGTAAGGGGAAGAAATCAGTGAGATGTTCAATAGGTTGTCGGTATAATATCCAGTTGTCAGACGGAATACGAGCTGATGAAGTTGCATAGGTGAGATAGTGCATTGAGGGAGAAGACTACAGTTGGTATTGAAGTCAAGGTGATGTCTCTAGAAAGGCAACAGACTTGGGTGGGAGTGTCAAGTCATCAGGGGAATCTTCCTTCAGAGGTTGTTGGGTTCGATCGAGAAAGGAAGCGACAGGGACCACTTAGTTCGAGTGAGAGCACGTGGCTGTGTCTCTAACGTCTAGGAGATAAGACCACGTAGGATTGCTTAGTCTCGGGGTAATCACAAACAGAGCTTGGGTAGGGCCGAGCAGTGGGATCAGTTCGTTGATAGAGGAGTTAGAATTGTGCCTTGACAGAGGGTGTTAAGATGATGGGACATTGTTGGTGCAGTGAGGCGAAATTGTTATTTTGTCTCCAAGTGGTAGATTGTTGGGTTTGTGGATACAAAATAAATTAAAAGAAAAAATGAGGAATGTTTAATGGGCCAAAAGCCCAAGAACCTATTGTTTTAGGTTTGTGCCACCACTTATGTATCTATATATTCCTTTTCTTTATTGTAGGTGAGAGCAGCCGTGAGAATAAGAAATAAAAGGGCAGTGGGTTTGTGCTGCAGTTTTATAGTGTTTTTTAAGCAGTTTTAGAGCGGCGACTTGAGTGTTGGCAATACAAAAACGGTAGATCGAGATCGATATGTTTGGGGTAATTTGTTCTGGATTATTCGGTAAGTTTGTCATTCATGTTCCTAAGTATTAATTGTGTTAAAATACTTAGAAGCTATGAGGCTTTTGTTGGGACCTCTAGGGGATATTTTTGGGAGAGTTATTGTATCCAATCCTTTAACAGTATTAGTGAGTTACCCACATCTAAGTGGAAGATTGGACATAGCCCTTAGTGGTGGACCAGTATAATTTGCTCTGTCGTTTACTTGTGCTTTACTGTTTTTCTTCGTATTTGCATATTCTTGGTTGTGTTGGATATTTTCTATGGAAGAGAAAATTATACAGGACCGTTAATTTCCCAACACCACTCTTATAAAATAGCTAAAGAGTCACTAAAAGCATATCTTAACCTCATTCGTTTCCAGGTTAGCATTA